CTAAAATGGTGAAAGGTCTGGAAACCATGCCCTATGAGGGAACTGGGTATGTTACAACTTAGGGAACTGGGTATATTTAGCCTGGAGAAGAGATGGTTAAGAGGTGATATGATAGCCCTGTTTCAACATTTGAAGAGATGTCATATTCCGGAGGGAGCTAGCTTGTTTTCTGCTGCTCCAGAGAACAGGACCCAGAACAGCAAATGCAAGCTACAGGAAAAGAGATTCCACCTCAACATAAGGAGGAACTTCCTGAAAGTGAGAGCTGTTCGACAGTGGAGCACACTCCCTCAGAGTGTGGTGGAGTCTCCTTCTTTGGAGGTCTTTCAGATGGATGGCTATCCATTCGGGATGGTTTGATTTTGAGTTCCTGCATGGCAGAGGGTTGGACTGGATGGCCCTTGTGGTCTCTTCCAACTCTATGATTCTATGATTCTATTATCATAATAGCAATACTAAAACCAATCATGAACATACTAGACCAGGGGTAGGCAACCTTTTTGAGCCGGGGGCCAGGTTGCTGTCCCTCAGACAATTGATGGGCCGAAGCACCAAAAATAAATAAATAAATAAATAAATTAAAATTAAAATTAAAATTAAAAAAGAATTAAAAAATTAAAAAAATGCATGCACACTCTCTCAGCCCCAGAAAAGCCATGGCAAAACCCCTGTGAAGATTTTGCCAAGAAAACCCCAAGAACAAGTAATAACAACAGTAATCAATATCATCATGGGGGGGCGGCGGCGGCGGGGGGGGCGCGGCGGCGGCAGGACCGGTTTGGGGCCGGTCCAAAGGCCTTGCTGGGCCGCATCCGGCCCCCGGGCCTTAGGTTGCCTACCACTGTACTAGACTAAACTTTTATTAAATGGATAGTGAAAACTCATCTAGATTAAAGTGCCCTAGAGAGCACTTGAAGGCAACACTTTGATTCCTTTGGGCCCTGGGGCTACGTGGGATGGAACCATGGCAGTTAAAGCATTATCAAATTGCATTATTTCTGCACTGGAGAATCAGCCCCAGAGATTTGTGGACACTGTAACACTATCCAATTTATCGGTCTTAACATTGCACTGTATGCATTGTTAACATGCATGCTTATTTTATTCTATAACAATTATAGGCAGCAAGCTGCAAAAGAAAAAATTCTGATGCTTGTAAAATATCTAACCTCTTAGTTTACTAGTAATGCAAGATCTGTTCTAGATAACGTGAAATCTCAAATTATTATATACAGGAAGGTATGATGCAGTATAATTATCTTTCCTTTCTTGCCGTAAAAGGTCAATTCACTAAGAATAGACTAAACAACCACAATTACTGAAACAATAATTAGAATTTCTGTCTTAGCAGTATTTGTTTTTTATACAGAATGCTGTTAGCTTGCTGCAATCTGAACAGTTCACAAGGCATAAATAATGGTTCAAATTAACCTTGTTTATTATTATACTAGTTTATTCAACCTTTAATACTATGTGTAGTGACACAAAAATTACGTACTTTGAGGACAACATTTTCAGCTGTTTGGTAGAGATGTAGAGTTTTCCCAAAGTTTGGAACTCCTTAAATGCTGAAGTTTATAGATTTGCTATTCTGAAACAACATTTCTAAAGTACGTTTTTCAATATCAGAGTCATTATTTTACAATTCAATGTGGTTTAATGCTTATCCTAGAAGTATGAATTGGAGTATGTGTGACCATGTGGCCTAATGGATAAGGCATCTGACTTCGGTTCAGAAGACTGTGGGTTCTAATCAGTTTGTGGTTGGCAATCGGTCAAAAAAGATAGTTTTTGTTTGAACTGGTGTAGTGTAGTGATTTGAGCACTGGATTCTGGAGAACAGGGTCTGAGTCCCTGCTCAGGTACAGAAACCCATTGGCTGACCTTGGGCAAGTCACTCTCTCTCAGCCTCTAACAACATGTGGCCAAGAACCCCCCCCAAAAAAAACAATCTGGCCAAGAAACCCTCACAATAGGTTTGCTTTAGTGTCACCATAAATTGGAAATGACTTGAAGGCACACAACAACAAATGAATTGGAATGTCTTCACATGGGATGAAAAGATATGGATATTTGGTGAGATAATTATTTTCTCAGTCTTTAAAACTGCATATAGTTTATCTTAGTTATGGCATTTCATTTGAGGCTAGCACTGCACTTTGATGTAACCTCATGTTACTTCTGTGAATTTCATCAGAATAAAGTGCCAGACCAAATATGAAAAATGATGACTATATGACTATTTCCCGATATGAATAAGCTTACCCTAGTTCACACAAGAGCTCACTTTAAGGACAACATTTATAAGAGGAAATAACAGAGGCAAATCTAATATTTCACAAGCAAAGGCCTGTTTGGAAAATTGGACATTGCCTTCCAATATTCTTATTTGGCTCCCACTTTCCCAACCCTCTGGAGCAGATATTGAAGGTGTGTGCATAGAATCATAGAATCATAGAAACATAGAGTTGGAAGAGACCACAAG